CTGGGTTTTGATCTGGCCAAGTACAGGCAGCATACAGACGTAGCATAGTTTCCTTGGGCAAAATCGATCGCATGAGCTGATTAATGTCAGCCCATGTTGGATTATAACAATTTATAACAGTCTGCAATTCTTCCTGAAATTTTTCTGGGTCTTCCCTGATTTTGGGGAATTTTTGAGTTAAATTGTAGAGATCACCTGGAGTCCAGGGTGCATGCACGGTTACTATATTTTGTCCATCGGTGCCAATGCCTGGCATTTGTCTTAGGGGGTAAACTTGTGCAGCTCGGGATCTAAGATTGATGGGAGATCTTTCCATGCCTATTCCCATTCTTCTAAATACACCTGTGGTGGGTTGTGACCCAGGAGTAAATTGCCACACTGGTGATGATTGAGTGGCAGATATGGTGGATGAGTCCAGACTATTAAGCTCCGTGGATGGATTTACTGAAGGAGCTTCAGCTAATGAGTTACTAGCCTGGGCTGCAGCCTGATGTTGAACCGGTTGTTGCTGATGTGGGAGTCCCAGGAGAGCAGGGTTCGAACAAAGGTCAAGGATATCCTCTGCTGGCTCCGGTGGTGGGGGCGCCCCGGGCAATGCTGGATACATCGGAGCGGTGGCCGGCGTGTAATTTGGGGGAGCAGCCAATTTCTCCCGAACAGCTTGTAACTGCTGTTTTAATTTTTCTTGAGAGTCTTTTAGGCTCCTAGTTTGAGATTCTGTCCGCCTTTTGGACATTTCATCATACCAATAAAAGAACGCGTCCCACTGGTTTTGTGGTGTTTTGGATCCACGGGACTCTAAAGCCCCTCTTAAGTGCACTATTTTATCCTGATCAAATGTTCCTTCTTGTGGAAAATGCTTCACAGGATCATCCCTAGTATACCAGTTCCACTTATCCAGGTACTTGCAAGCCTCGGGAGAATAGTGTGTGTACATAAAGTACGCCGGAGTCCCCTTAGGGGGGACGGGAACTTGTTTAGACTGACTCGTTCCCATTTTCAGTCACACAGGGAGACGTAGGAGAGGCTTATTTAGGATGTCCGGGCCGCTCAGTGCCTTGCCCCGCAGTTTTTCACTGCCCAGACAAAAGGCTTCTGACCCGACACCGGCTCATAAAATGGAAATGGGAAGGGAAACACAAGAGGAATCCTTTCACTCCTGCTCTCGGCAGAAGCTACTGGGACAAGGGGTTTGGAAAAGACAAAATCACTCAGACGCCCTGTCCACTGGGTCACGAGGTTTCAGCTGGGCCCCCTTGCTTTCGACGCTACCTTTTTTAGGCAGAATCGGGGCGGCTAGACCCAGCCTTAGTCCCAGACCTGGTCAGTGGCTCATTTTTCTAAATGCACACACACACATTTATTCAATCACTGGGAAGCCCTGTCCACTGGGTCACGAGGTTCCAGTTGGGCCCCCTTGCTTTCAAAACTGCCCTGTCAGGCAGAATTGGGGCGGCTGAACCCAACCGTAGTCTCAGACCTGGTCAGTGGCTCATATTTCTAAATACACACACATGCACATTCATTCAGTCAGCCAGACCTCCTCCCCCACACTGCCTTAGTTAATTAACGACAAGCCCGATGTGCTGTAGGATGAAGGTGCTTCATACAGTTTCTCCCTAAATAAAACGTACGTTACCAGACACAAAATGGGATCCTTTACCAGACAGAAAATTTTAGCCGGCAGTAAGGTTCAGGCAGGTCAGCAGAAGCTTTTATTTAAAAGAAGCTACAGCTGTAGGGGGGACTCCAAAGTGACATGGATCTCCCAAGCACTTGGAAGGGGTCCCCCCCCAAGAGCAAAATCAGGAGGCTTATATACTTTTTAACAGTTGCTTACAACTCACGTGATCATATAGTGAAATTAGCATGAAAAGCGGCTATAACATTACTTCATTATTTCTTTGCTGTAATCAGGATGGGAACTAATGGGGGAGGCGAGGTTAGTTCACAAACCTCCTTCTTGCACCTGCAAATCAGAGTTGTACATACTTTTTGCTATCTTCAAGGCCGCGGTGAGCGAAGCAGTTGTAGAGGAGTTACAAAGAACAAACACTTTCTCTTATCTGTTCTACTATACAGAGCCAGCAATTCTCCACAAAGCGGTTATGTCATCTTATAACTAAAATAGTCAAAGTTTAAGGCATATATTTTTTCTGATTTCACAGGTTTCAGAAAGATATTTGGAAAATCCATGAAATCATGGTACTTTTCAGGGAGAAAGCTACAGTGCCTTTACTGAAGCTTTCAGTCCTGCCAGCTCCTAAGCATCATTTGCTAACTGACAGCACCAGTAAAGAAGTTGTCTGAAATTCTGTTGTTTCCTTGTTACAGGACTTCTGTAGCAGCCTCTTGGCTACTCCTCGGTCTCTGAGGACTCAGAAAACACTATATAGCCCACTGTCTTTCTAAATATGGGACTCCAATACAGACTTTTATATAATATCTAATTAAAGATTGTGAATCAATATGTTATACAATATTTATTCCTAAAATTAATAACAATGGCAATGTTTACTTGGGCACATGCTGCAGAAGATGTAAGGTATTAAAGGAGAGCTATAACAAAATGAAAAATATCAGATACAGAATGTCATAACCCAATGATTTTTAGTGCCTCGGCACATTGGAATTTTCCCACCACATGGAGCTTTCTTTGCACGGTGGATTTCTCAGCTGCAGAGAGAAATCCCCGGTGCAAAAGAGTTCCCGCCACACATATGCAAATTTGTACCCCATTATTGGCTGATTCTAAATTATTCCTACGTGGCGGCTAGCAATTGGCTCGCTAGCCGTATAAAAGGTTAGAGCAGTTTCCGCCCAAGTTGGAGGACTCCACATCCATCTCGTGGAGAACGCTAAGCACGCTGTGGAGCCTAGCAAACTCTGCGTGTGCCTTAGAGGAGGATATAGGGGCCTGATCAGCTTCTAGCCACTCCCCGTCATAGTGGAAATTTGACGTATCCCCCATGTGAAACGTTCATGGAGTCGTACATCGACGACTCATTTCGGTGCGGTTCGGAAGAGATCTCACTTGTGTTTGTTTGTGTGCAACTGCAACTCAAGCAAGTTTCCTTCCTGCACTGTGACCATCGGCAGTGTAAGTAAAGCTTTCTTTGTACAACCAATACGCTGTCTCACCTCTCCATCCACCAGCCCGCCTGACGTTCGCTTAATTAACCAGCGTTTCCCTCGGTCGGCTCCACCCGGCCGAGACACAGAAAAGGTATGTTTTTAGGTTATATGTGAATGTACACACACACCTACCCAAACACACACACACACACACACACACACACACACACACACACACACACACAACTGCCTCTTCAGCTATGCTTGGTGCTTAGGGTATTTCTTTTTTCATCTCATTGACTCAGTTGATCCTAATTTGGGTAATGTATGGAACCAATCCTATCAGAATGAGTAACTTGTCATAGTTCCTAATTGAAAACTGCTCTAAAAGCTACCATAACCTGAATACATTTGGCTTCACTTAATTAAAATTGATGCTCAACTAATTGGTTTGTATTTTATAATAATATACAGGCTGTTTCATGACAATGTTTTATAGATAACACTTGTAAATCTTTGCAGTGAGCCACATAAATCATTATGCATAGACAGTGCTTCTAGCATTAAACATGATTCATGAGAAATCAGATTCTTTTTGGTGATTAGTCATTCTTGAATATGTCATCAGGCTATCCCCTTCTCACTGTCCAGAAAACGCATTTAGGACCAGAGTCATCCTTTAAAATAGCAAAACTTATATTAATTCAGTAGGATTACATTAGTCTGAAAGTATTTCAAAACATCCATGAACTTAAACACATAATTCAGAGCTTATCACAGAAAATATGTAACATTCTATAGTTCCTTTATACACAGGAACACACAGATTATGAGTACAATGGCATCTCTTACCTCACGCATCCGGTGTGGCCATCTGTGTCTCGTTTTCCCCTGGGAGGTTTGCAGTCTCCCCCATCAATGGAGTAATTCATGTTTTAGTTCTTTTCTGGTACAGTAGTTTGGCCCTTCAGCCAAACTAAGTCCTACTCCACTGAAGCAATGAAGACAGCCCAAAATAAAAGAGGCCTTTGTCCTCTGTGACATCAGTTATATTCTATACAATTACCACAAGGCTTAACTTCCTCCTTTCTAGGACTTTCCCAGGGCAAAGTTTGCCCCTCTTTCAATGAAGGAGACTGAAGAGGGACTTCCTTTTTCCTCAAAGAAAAGTCCAGCCTTAGGGACCTAACCAAACACAGCTATCATTATCATGTGACCCAGATCCTTTGTTTTATATGCTTTATCCTTCCCTGGGCCTACGTTCTCTTTTCCTGCTTATCTCCAGGCCTTTTCCATGAACCCTTCCTAAGCTGGCCTCCTCAGTTTTGTTAGTGGAAAAGAGAAAAACTGGTATATATATAGCTGCATTGCACAGGGAATGGCATTCTTGCCTTAACTGATCTATCTTCAAATAGATCCCCAGCCTAAATAGCACTAAATATGCTAAATAAGTATTTAGCATATTTCTATTCATATTACAACTGGCAAGAAATTTGCTTAAAGAAAAAACTAAAACACTTCTTAGAGACAGAAATACAAGTCAATATTTCTAAAATGTTACTGATTTCTGCTTGTTGTCCTAGCTTTGTAATTATATCTACAGCTACTTATTTAAAACAGATAAATGGCAGAGGCGTTAATCAGAATTACTTCCATAAATGGGTCCATAGGCTCTATCTGAGTCCATAGAACACCCACTGATATAAATGGGAATCACATACTGTCAAGATTTGAACTATTAGGCATCTAGATGGGCCTACATGCCTAAGTATGAACCTATTCTACCCTATTGTGGTCCCTGAAGAAATATGAACATGTCTACTTTTGTAATGTACCACTATCTCAGCCTTAAGGCTAAGTTACAAAAAGCAGAGAAAAAGGAGGTAGAGAAAAACCCACCTACCTTTTGTGTTAATGGAGTTTCAGAGATGTGAGCATGGTGGACCAGGATTACACTTACGTGGTGATATTCCCTTTGACAGCTAATAGAAGGAATAGGATCTGGCCTTATGGCTATGGAAATCAAGAGCAGATGCTAGGAGGAAGCATGCACCAGTCAGTATGTTCATTGCTCAAGTATAACATACATTGGATACAGCACTTTTCTACAGCATTGGTTATGGCACATAGCTTCAGATCATAGGTACTTCTTAGGGCTGAGAGAATTCTGATTGTCCTGTTTTTGTATTCTCCATTGCCTTGCAACCAAATTAGGGCTGTCTGCTGCACAGTAGGGGAAAAGGAGTTCCTTATGACCTCTTTATCTTTCAATACACCTGTAATCTGAACTGTTGAGCAGGTCTGTTTCAAGTAGTATCATGTCATCTGGTCTACACTGGATCTCTTTATATGCAATAGAACATTTGGGTAAGATAGTGCAATCCATCCATGCGGATGCTCACACAACTAGTCTTAATGGGTGCATCTACATGTGCAATTAGCATGTAGCAATAAACTCTGGCACATATCGTGCCAGAATTTATTGCTACCAGGTGCAGCATTTATATGTGCTTTCAGAATCGCAGCATGTTGAGCCAGCGGCCTAAAGGGTCAGCCTGTTAGCCTGGAGCTGCTCCAACTAGGCTCAGTGTTCTGTGGAGGGGTTGGCTGTGGCACAAGGGTGCTACAGTACATGGCTCGATGGCAGGCAGCCCCTGCAATGTAGCACCCCAGTGCCCTAGTCAGCCCCAGTCACCATCTGTGTATGCAATTTGGAGCACATTACTACTCTGTTGTAGGTTTGCACCTGCCCCAGACACTAAGTACTGTTCTACAGTGGAGTTAATTAATTTATTGTGCCCTAATATGGGTACATGTGTAGATGGTGACACTTTATTGTGGAGCTAATTAGCTCTGAAGTAAAGTGCAGGTGTAGATGTGCCCACTGAAATCAAAGATATTCATCTGAGCAAAGGATTCCTTGTGACCAGGGTCATTCAACTCATGTCCCACAGACTGCATGTGGCCTGAAAGGTGTCCTCCCCACCACAACAACAGCTTCTGCTCCTGGGGTCTCTGGGCTCACCCTCCCTCCTTTAGATTTCACATCCTGCCCCTGCTGGCAGGGTAGTGCAGCCCACAGAGGCCTGGGGAGTCCATGCAGGCCCTGCAGAATTGGGAAGGGGGCAGAGAGTCTGTTCAGCCTGTACAAGCAGCCTATGTGATGGGCAATCTGAGGGGCCTGTGAGCCAGGAGAGGCATATGGTAGGTAGAGCTGGGCTGGCAGAGCTCATATATGAGGGGAGCATGCACAGTGTACAGTCTTCATGGCATGCAACCCACATTGTGTGTGGTCCCTAGCCAGCCAGAAGTTGTATAATCCTACTACAGATTAAGATGTGGAATGCTGGGGTGCATCCAGATAAGCACAGACATGCAGTATGTGGTGCTGCAGACTTGTCTGCAGTCTACTTTGCAGTGCGGGAGTTTTTTTTGACTCCAGGAGATCCCGGGGTCAAAAAAACCCCATGCCTAAAAAGAGCAGGGTGGTGGGAGCAGTGTGTGCTGCCCAAAACTGGAGTCTGGCTGGCTGGAGCTACGCTCTGGCTGCTAGCTAGGCTCCCTGCTGCAGAAGTGCCACAGCTGAAGCTCCTGGAGGCTCCCAGGACCCCAGGCAGGGGCAGCACCAGCCTCTTCCCAGTGGGGGGCAGGAGGGCTTAGGTGGACTAGACAGAAAATTGCAGGGGGGGTGGGGGGCAGAGCTGTGCTATACATCTTCTGGCCAAACATACTTATTCATTTTTTTTAACAATGCCCACTTAGGGTACTGCATCTCTGTGGACTTTGGGTGCAAGCAGGGTGGGCTCAGCAGCTCAGGGTGGGTAGTGTTGGCTTGTGGGGGACAAGGTGGGGAGTTTGTACAGAAGCGGCGCTGGGAGGGGTGGCTATGGGGTGGGGGGTGAGTAAGGCAATTTTTGGGGTAGCTATAGCCAAACTACTTCCTAGTGCTGCCTCTGACCCCAGGTAAGGCTGCTGGGGTCGGCACAGTTTCTGGCCCCAGCCTCCCCTACCCCACCTGGGGCAACGTGCCATGCACCAGAACATGTGTGGCATAGGTGTTCTCTGAGGACATTTAGCAGTGGCACAATTTTTTAGAGATTTTCAGGTCCAAGTTCCAAATCCACATTACATTTCTTCTCAGCCTCTTCTCTTTTGGTATCGAAAAGATTTTATCTGTGTTATTAGTGTGCTAAAAAGTTTCTTATTTCTTATCTCAAAATTATTAAACTTCCATACGCTTCCAATAGGCCAAAGCAGAACAATTCTCCTCCATTTACACTACTTAAATGGCTGTTGATTTTAGGTCTGAAATGGTCAAATAACTTAAGGCTTTTTTCATTCAATACTACAACTTCCGAATGTAATGTTATCTGCCACATTTAAATTCTTGCTTTCAAATGTGTAACAACCCCAGGCATTTTTACAAATGACTTCAATCAGAAGTGTCAGCAGTAATATTTCACAGTTCATTACAGAGAGATCATTTTTCAGAAGGAAGTGCTGTCATTTCAGTTCAGGTTTTTTTTGGGGGGGTAGTATTTGTTTTGTCTTGTTTTTGCTTTCTTATGCATTAATTTTCAGTCTCAGGTGACAAGTGACTATATTTTTTCTCTGTAGTGATTATGAAAGTATTCAGATGCCTTGTGTAATTTTCCTTTTCCTTTCCTAAGCATCTAATTTAGTACAATAGGACAGGGTGGCTTCTTACAAAGACTAACTGGTAAGAATGTTCTTTAATATTAATGGTCTGGACTTGAATTGGTGTGCATACAAAGGGGAAGCCTGTGTCTATTGCTTGCTTAATATAAGGCCTAAATCTGCCTTATTATGTTAATTCTCCTTGCTTGCAAGGTAACAGCAGTCTACTTGGTCAGTGGCACATATTAAGTAACTGTAGGGCAAACCAAAACATGCTAATGGCTTTGTGGTTTAAGCCTCAGGGTAATAATAATCTGACCACAGGTTGAAATACCAGCAGTGTTCTCCATTTTGAGGGTGATAAATTGAGTACTGTACTGTTCTTTGTGGATGGATTTTTCAAATGTTGCAGACTGTTTCGTCTTGTTTATCCTTCCGATTCCACCGTTCTTTTCTGTAAAAATAAAATGTGACTTTGGAGACTTTGGCCAAAAATGTTGTCACTGCTCTTCATTTGTGATCCGCTGTCCATTTTAATGGTGCCTGCATATGCAGTAAGTAGTTGACAAGTTCACTGTAATGAAAAGAATTATCTGCATAAACAATGTTATATGATCATAATGGCCATTGATATTATTCTTCTGTAGATGAGATAGTAATCATTTTGGACTAAATAAACATATTGGCAATGAATGGATTGCTTTGGAAAAAGACCAAGGAGGTATGTATTGGTTGTTATATAATGCTTATCATGTTTGGGGTTAGGCAGGGCTTTTATACTGCTTTGTGGGCTCAGAACATTTTTTACCTATGTCCTTTTTTGCACAAGGGCCAGAATAGTTACCATGTATTTAGGGGTTGCACAAAATGCTATCTTTCAGTAACCCTGAGGCAGGTAATACCCCATATAATCTGGTAGTCAGACATGAGTCACTTCCTTACCCATTTGGTCACCTTCAGGGAGCAAACATGTCATACCGTCTTAGCGCCTCTTTTCTGTTCACTCAAGGGCTTCTGCAAAACAGGAACAGGTGTGTCAATGCCACAGTCTTGCTTGATATAATTAAAACGAGAGATTACCATATAATTAAAGAGCCCTTTCAGGACACTCACTGCCCTTAGCCCTAAACAGTTTACCACTTATATACAGCCAGTTCTCCTGCTGCTTTTTCCAAAGGAACTGTGGTCCTTTAAAGTGTCAGAGCCAGCTCCTGGACACAAGTAAAGTAGGGAGATGTTAGCAAACTCATAAGCTTAGTTTGGAGGGGAACATGCATTTGATTTTGGCAAACAGCTTACTTCAGCTTCTGTGGTAAATTACTATTCCACTTGGACAGCAATCTCAGGGGCCAGATGCCAAACAGTAGAGGTACTTTCCCAGCAGCAGCAAGAGCAGCAGTTGCCTAATTAGAAGACTGCGCACAGACCGTGTTTTGCCAGCTCTTCACATTGTTTCATCTCTAGTGAGATGAGCTCCCATAGCTGCCTTGTCCTCCTAGATGCTGGTTTCTTTTGACTAACATTGTGATTCTATCATATTTCAGGAGAGTTTAGTTCCCTCCCAAGTACAGACATTAAACTTTTTTATCACTTTCAGATCAAAATGGATTTTTTCTCCCAGTTTCTTTCTCTCCTTTTCTTTCTTTCCCCTTTCCACCCCCCATTTCAGTTCTTATTGCTCTCTAATTTGCACTGGAGATCCCTTAGTCTCAGTGTTTACTTCTATTGCATATTCTACACATGCAGAGCTTCCATAGGTGATCATGAATATCCTATAAAACATGGTACAAACTGGCTATCTCAGTTTTCAACCCTTTAACTGTAAGTCATCATCAAGGCATGGGGATGACTGGGAGTTTTGTCTGCCATTTTAACTTTTTGTTTATGTAAGCTTACTTAACTTACTTTGGGGCTGCCAATATCAACATTTCTTCTTCCCCTTCACAATGCAGTAAACTAAAGCACATTGAAAATCAACACAAGAGTTACTATGTTGATTGTTTTCATTTCACATCAAAAGACCCTGGCTCTTGCAAACATGTGTAGACATAATTTTACTCTCATGAATCATCTCAGGAAAGCCATGGATGAATGCAAGGTTTTGTACAGGGGAGTGCAGGAACAGCAGCTGGTGCTGCAAGTGTAGTTGCACCCCATGTTCCAAGATCCCTCTGCCCCAGGATGGGCATACCACGCCATGGAGCAGCAGCCAGATCCTTTTTTTTTAAGACCCCGAATCAGGTAAAAATTGCATGCATTCAGCATCCCTCTCTTCCTCTCTGTGCTCAGGGGCACATCCCCTCCCTTCCCAGTCACTCTTGTTCCACCCACCACTGCCACTGTCCCTGGCTGACCCAAAGCAGGGGGATCTCCAGAGTTGCTTCCACTCAGTTCCAGCTCAGTTGACCAGACAGTCATGCTTAGCTGGGGACAGTGGCAGTGAGTGGGAAGGGGAATGGAGGGGACATCCTGATGAGCATGAAGAAGCAGGGGCAGGAATTTTTTTTAGGTTTGAGAACTTAAAAATGTCCCTGGCTGCTGCTCCTGTGGCATGGCCTAAAATGGGGGTGTGACTGTAGCCCCTGTGGATCTGCTCCTGATTGAAGCCAAGGAAACAACATACCTGGGTAGATTTTCAAATGAGTTTGCAGCTTTAGGTTTTCATTCAATTTAAAAGCCTCCATTTAATACTCCTAAAAACAGAAACATTCCTACAGCCAAAAGGTGGGCTGACCACAGCACTGAGGGCCTCATCAATGTCTGCTGACATTACTAGGTTCAGTTTATTCATAGGCCTAAACTGTAGACACCAGCTGAAAGCACACTTAGCCCTCACAAATTAGGAGTTCTTTATTCAGATCAATACATAAGTAAATAGTGAAGATGGTAATAATTATTCTTTGCAGTTATTATATAACCATTCACAGGATCATAAAATTTATTTTTCCATAATCCAAATATTTTAAAGTAATATCAGAGACTTCTAAAAAAAGTTAAATTTAGCTGTCACTTTCAAGTGGCATGGATGAAAACGTAGTCTTTCTTTCTCTCACTAATGGCTGTTATTATTCTTTGTGATTTCTTATAAAAAGATATGCCCAAATATGTCAGCAGCACTTGGCAGACCAGTCTCTGTAAGTAAGTGTTAAGGATACTGATTTGCAAAAATAAATTCCTGTGAAAATTTCATAGAAATTTCATAGAAACATCCCATCAGTAAGCTGCAAGTGACAGATAGATTATGTCATCATCACTAAACCAAATCATCACTGTGATCAAATTAAATTAAACTCGTATGCACCAGCATGTATTGTATACTGATGTAATTTCAGGAACAGACTCAGAATTGAATTTGAAAATGTGTCTTTCTGAACACAAAAGGGTGTTATAAATGGTTCCATACAACAGGAGAGAATATTTGACTTTGTTTCAAGAACCTCTATATAGCTAGCAAATCAGAGTAATAGTTGCAGTTGCTGTGATGTGACAAACACAAACACACATTTTAATACAACTGAATTTCTTTTACATTTAGCATATAACAGAGACAGTATCTACGTTAATACTACACCTTCTGTTGTAAGTTTCATTCCAGGATATCAAATAACTTTACATTAATGAAAGAGAGTCAGCAACAGTTCTATTATCTCCATTTTAGACATGGAATATTTTATTTTTATCTGCTATTCTTATTAAAGTAACATGGAGTAACGTGTTAGGTCCCCAGACCAATGCCAAAGCCACCTTATGATTGGCACTGTGTATCATGATGGTTAAAGACAGTGCTTGCTTGAAAGAGATTACAGTCTAAGTAGATGAGATAAAAAAGTGGGAGTAAAGAAATATTATCTATGTCATAAAAAGAAAACTGAGACCCAGTAAAATTAAAGTAAGTTACTTGAAGACGCACAGGAATTCTGCAGTGTAACATAGAACAGGACCCTGGTCGTCATACTTTCTTTTTTAAGGTCTAGCCAACAGATTAAAGTTTCTCTAATTTTGTGAAAACTGACAACACAAGTTAGAATTATATTTGGCCCAAAAGATGATTGTTGTTATTCAAAACAACTAAGAGTTCAGGGATTTTGCTGAGCAAAGCATTTAATGGCTGGACATGTCAGCCCAGATGCAGTTTGAATGAACATGTTGATGGGCTGCCATTGTTCCATCTTATTTAGGCAGCCTGGGTGCTTGGGGAAAACACCTGTGATATACTCATATGCTAGCCTTTAAGAACATTTCTGATTTGCCAAAAAAATGTCTGATGTACCTAAAAATTGCCCAACTTGCTGCTTTTGCTGCTTGTCTCTTATTACCAGAAACCTCATTTACTAATTACAGAGTAAGAAGTATGGATTTATTGAACTCTCTGGTGCTCCTCAGACCCCAAATGCTCACTCCTAAAAACTGGCTCTGAAAATAAATTCTCTTATATCCCTTTGAAGTTCAGCACAAATAAAAATACCCCAAGCACTGGTTGGTAGTCAAGGAATAGGATGATGCTGTTCCACATTATGGAAACAACCAGGTTCAGTTCTTGATCTTTCACCATTGCTGTCAGCAAGGACTAGGGGCTATGTGGAGGCAATGCATTAGACAACTGAAGGGTTTTGTGGTGTGCTTTCTATTGCTTAATACCAACAATAATTCTAGCCAGATAAAGAGCAGCAAATAACGATCCAGTCCTGCTAGTAGATCGTCTAACCGTTCTTTTTTGACAGAAAAGGTGACAGGAAGAAGTAATCTCTATGCATTGATTAAAGATGTCAAGGATCCTAAATTAAAAAAAGGGGTAGACTTAGAAAGTGTAAAGAAAACACTGCTTATCCAAAGTTTCATTGTTACTGTTGTCATCTGTGTGGTGCCCACCTTGAGTTAGCTGCTGTATGGAGAAGCAGAGAAATAAAGAACTAAAGAACATACAAAATCCTACTCTGCCCTATAGTATTCATCTGATGTCACAAAAGGTCAGAAAGGTCCCTCACAGCCTTCAATTCAATTATTATTGAATTGAATTGAATTGATGCTTCTACTATTAAAGTATCTGAGCACCTCCAGTCTTTAATGTATATCTCCATATCAACCTTGGCAGATGTAGGAAAAGGCTATTTTCCATTCTACAGCTTGATTGCTGAGATATAAAGGGAGACTACATGATTTACCCAAGATCATACAGGAAACCTGTGGAACACTGCAAGTCCCAGGTCAGGTTTTTTTACCATAAGCTCAAGCTCTTCTCTGTCACAAGCTCTCTTGTAGTACAAATGAGCAAGGCAGATGAAAGGGAGCTTAAACACACATACATACTAACCAAATCCAACTTGTCTGCAACACAGCTGTGGAAACAGCTTATGAACTCTCCAGTTGAAGAGCTGATACTGCTAGGCTGAAGCTGAGAATCAGGTGCTTGAATCTGAATAAGACACGATATACCAGCAAAACCAAAGAGAAATAAAACAGCAGCCCCCAGAACACCAACATCATTACCATAACACTCCTTATTCCACTCTAAAATATTTTTACTCTCCAAAGGTCTGAACTCCACCACAGAGGAATAACCTGACAAGGTATTAATACACAGGGAATTAGAATAATTTGTTCACAGACTTCACCTGAATGAATACTTTCACAAGCCAGGACAGAGCCATCTCTGACAATTTTTTTGCTGCAACTGGTAACAAGCAACATCAAAAACACTCTGACTAGATACCTCCCATCAGATAGAAACACACTATAGTGTGGACTGTTTCAAGAAGGAAATTAATAGTGAAATTCTCAACAAAAGTCAAGACCACTGCAACCTCTGTCTCTCAGAGAGAAAAGCAATACAGTCCCTAAGATCCAACCATAAAATAGTAATCAAACCAGCAGATAAAGGTGGAGCTATCACCATGCTCAACCATGAAGACTTCATCGGTGAGGTTAACAGACAACTCTCAAACACTCACTACTATAAGGAACTAGGGAAGGACTCCATACCAGCATGTGCTTCGGAACAGTAAAATATTATCAAA